TAGTTGTCTTATTTAGGATTCCCACAGCTGTTACATGAGGTTATTGATGTATGGTGTATATTTAAATGTAAGTATCTCTCCATATTAGGCCCACACGGCTTGCCTCAGTGACTGTGCGTTGGACGTGCAGACGACAGGAGGAGCGCTGCTGCACTATGATTTCTCTCCTCTGGCCAACGTCACCGGCTTCCACAGCAGCCCCCGCTTCACCAACAAAGGCCTGCGATATTTCCATCGCTTTAATTTGGGTCTGTGTGGGAAAGAGGTGAGAAGCTGTGATCCTGATGACTTTGGTTTTTGTTTGAGAATTTAGTTTGATGTGCATTTTAACCTGCTGTCTCTTACAGGGCAGGGTACCGGCTACCTGTGTGGACAACGTAACAGAGAGCGGGAGAGAGGTTAAAGGTTACGTCTGTCAGTCCACCGTGGTTCCCTCTGACATCAGGAGTCAGAGCGTGGTGTCCTCCCAGCCTTTCCTTATTGGTGACTCACTCATTGGTACGGACTGATATGTGTTTAAGATCTTTTTAACACCAGATTTGATCATTTGCAGATAAATGTCCTGATATTAATTAAGGGCAACCCACGCTGGCGGTGTATGATGAACTATAAAACACCCTTGTCTCTTTTATGTAAGCCCACATGGTGGTGTGTTGTACCGGGGTGTGCCAAATTTCTATTTCTCAGTGTCAATGTGTGTCAGTGCTCCAAAAACTGAGCAATTTTGGATTGGAAAATTCTGGCTTTCAGACCTTGACGGCTTCTGGCTGAATGTAACATGTGTGCTGTGGCTGTCAATTAATGTGTGTCGAATCGACCACTAGCTTCAGTTACTAGTTCATGGTGTGTTGTTTAGTCTGCTGGGATGTAGGATGAAATCTAAATTGTGACAGAATTGAACTAAGTTATACGCTCCAAAACATTTCTGTTCATTGTTACAGTTGCTCCCAACCAAGGGTCTGGGACCCCCACAAACCATCACAAGCTGAAACCATTGGGATGTTTGATTATTATTGGAGTACAAAATAAGACAATAATCTGATAGATTATGTTTAATTTGTTTTTACAAATGCTAATGATTTTTGGTGTTCCTTTGACTTTTCCACTAGCACCACCATGAGGTTGCCATTCGTGGTCTAATATAAACTGTCTCAACAACTATTGGATAGATTTCTAGGAAGTACACATATTCGTATCCCCCTCAGGATGAATAGTAATAATGTTGGTGATCCTCTGACTTTTCATTCATCATCAGATCAAAATTTTAATTTGTCCAACATTTTTATGACCAAATACCTGCAAAACTAATGTCATTCCCATCTGTATGTTTTGTATTTATTGCTAATTAGCAAATGTTAGCATGCTAATAAACTAAACTAAGATAAACATTAGTGTTGACATTGTGCTTGCATGCTGACGTTAGGCTTTAGCTCAAAGCACCGTGAGGCCAAAGTACCACCGTTAATGTGGCTATTGACTCTTAGTCTCATTACTGTATAGTTTCATATTTAAAAGTGTAGTTTTACCTCTTCAGCTTCTAAAAATTAAACAACAGTCTAAGAAATGGCTCACACCTCTCACAAACATATGCAGCCTGTGATGCAATTACTCATTGCTTTGTAGGGTTGCTAGCAAAAAATGTTGCAACCACTGGTTTACATTGTGTGTCATAAATCATAAATGTAATAAATAAGTTATATGTCCTTTTATTCTGAAGGTGTGACCACTGACACAACCCTCAGTAGCATCTCCTCTCCAAAATGGATGTTTCCCTCTGCGTCTGGCCTGCTAGATGTCATATTCTACTACAAGTAAAACACAATTTCTCATATATTTTGTTTCATTCATCAATTGTGGTGCTTTCAGTTCGAAGATTTTAAATTGTAAATATTTGATGCTGAATGGCATTTGTTTGATTATGGAATATAATTAAGAATCAAAGTCTTAAAATACATCACATGGTGGAAGTTAAGACCTTTATGTTTGTCATGTTTTTGATGTTTTCAGGTCGAGTGAGACAACTCAGGCTTGTAAACAAGGAAGGTCAGCCGCCATCAGACTTAGATGCAACCCCACAGTGACGGCTAAAGACCTCATCACGCTGCCAAGGTGTCTTTCACTGTGACTGAACCCAGCTATTGACATTATGAGAGTTGTCCAGACAACATTTGATTTGACACACATACTGTATTCAGTGTGCGAACTATAGGCTACCAGGGCTTTCGGGAGGGCTATTTAGGGGAGCTCTTGTCTTGTCTCCCTGTAGTTCGCACCCTGATATATTACAGCAGCACTAATGAGTTATGTAAATCTGAACAAAGTGACTCCGTGATGGTTGTTTTTATCACGTAAAGCTTGTAATCATCTCTCTTTCCTTGTTTTCCTCCACAGTAACTGTTCAGAGGGGACATGTGATGGTTGTACTTTCCACTTTCTGTGGGAGAGCCAGCATGCATGTCCACTCTGCACCAAAAACCACTACAGAGAGATTGTCAGCGCTTGCATCCAGGGAATACAGGTAGTGCGGCACAGCCATGGACATACTGACAAAAATAATTTTACCTTCTCAACCCCACAAATCCATCACAGGTCCCATCCACCAGACAGATACTGAGAGATTAAAAAAAATATGTCAGAGCCAAAGAAAGATCTTCTCATCTAAGTGCATTTCCCAAAATGTTGAACAATTCAATTCATTCATTCAGTTCAGGAAAATACTGAAAACATCAGGATTCAAGTACTTAACTGATGACCAATCTGTGTGTGTGTGTGTGTGTGTGTGTGTGTGTGTGTGTGTGTGTGTGTGTGTGTGTGTGTGTGTGTTTCAGAGAACCACCTATGTGTGGCAGCAGCCGTTGCAGTGTTACGGAGGAGAGTCTCTACCAGCACAAAAAGTCAGTGCTTGTGTGACTCTGGATTTCTGGCTAAAATTTGGTGTTTCCACGGGAACGATTGCTGCTGTGCTGCTCATCAGTATCAGCTGCTATTTCTGGAAGAAGACACGCAAGTGAGAACGCTGTGCTTCACATCTCCTTTGGTGTTTTGTTGAAGCACTGATATATCATACTTTAAGTTTAAGGCTGAAATCTAAGCTAATCGTATAAAAACTCCAAAGACAAAACTGTAATTTTTGTGGCCAAGATGCGATTCCTGTCACCCTCTGTCTGCAGGTTGCAGTATAAGTACTCTAAGCTGATGATGAACTCTGGGGATAAAGAGTGTGAGCTGCCCACTGCAGACAGCTGCGCAATAATGGAGGGAGAGGATGCAGAGGACGACATCATGTACCTCACCAAGAAATCCTTCTTCACCAAGAAAATGAAGTCCTTCTCACGAGAGGTCAGTTACCCCTCCATTCACACACATACTGAGCTACGGATGAGTCAACTTTTAATGCTTTGTATTATCATCAATGTGCTTTCAGAGGACATCAGATGGATTTGACTCGGTTCCTCTTAAGTCATCGTCTTCACACCAGCAAAGAGAAGAGGAAGACTCCGATGATGCTTAATTCAGATGATGAACCGAAGGCAAGAGGAAATGTTTTAGATAAACTGTTTGACATCAATGTAGGTCCAACAGACGGAGTCACAGAAAACACAGAGGGGCTGTTGAATTCAATTTTTTTTTATTACAAAATATAACCTGGATTACTGAAGGATGTTTAAATAATGTAAAACGTGACAATTTTATGTAGTATTATTTGTCATATGTTAGATTGCCAAACCTAATAGTGCAATACAAAGTCTCCATATTGGGGATACTCTGTATTTTGAAGGCCCAACAGTGTATTTCAAAATGATGTAAGAACCAAACTGTGGATAAAGTTACAATTGTTGTAGGTGTGTGAGACTGTGTGCATTTTACGTAACTGTGAGTGTGTATTTTCATTATTTTCTATATTACTTTTCTTATTTTATTTTTTATTTGGCTCTCCTTTTATTAGACCAGACATCCATTTCAATCTTACAATGTTATTTGCCAATTTGTGAGTTATATTTGCTCTAGCTTTTGCTAATGTATTCTGCTCCAACCAAACTTATGATATAACCTTGCTTTATTCTGGAGTAAAGACATTTTCTACAATAAAAAAGATGTGCATCTGCAGGAATTAAGAATGACCTCTAATGCTGCCTTCAGTTTCTCTCAGACCATACTGCAGAGCATGAAAATAAATATATGACTTCATGTTTGTTTATATAATACTTTTATATTACTACTTTATATGTTTATATGTATTTGATATATGCTTATAATTGAAAACATTTCAAAAGTATATTTGTAGTTGGCTTAACTAAGAAAAATACAAACAGCAATGGTATTAATGATCCAAAATGTATCTCTTTTCTGCGACTTTCCATGGAAGAATGAAATTATATTTCCACAACAAATATCTTAAAATTCACGTCTTGGTAAATTGACATTTGCTCAAGTACTGCACTTTTATACTTCCAGTTCCTGCTATTTTTGAAGTGAAGCAGTAAAGTATCTTTTTCACTACAATTCAGAATTAAATGTTGTACTTTTTACTAGTTTTGACATTTATATGACAGCTAAAGATAGCCACTGGTTACTTTGCAGATTAAGATTGTACATGCAAAATATATTATAAAATAAGATGTATTATTGATTAACTACCCAATACTATATAACATTGTTAAAAAATAAAAACAACATCTATAGTATTACCGTGTTGTTTAACGTTATTGCCTAAATAATCATCCAATAATGCTGCATTATGAATAGTTTTACTTTTGATACTTTTATTTTTAATAGCAACCCTTAACTTTTATTTGAGTACTTTTGCTTGTTTTTTTTAGACACTTATAATCAAGCAAAGGATCTAAATAATCATTCCACTACTGACTGTCCTTTTATATCTCTGCATTGTGACTATTGTGTTAAGGAGGATACTCGTTTTTCCTCGTAGCACCTGAAAGCAGCACGGGTTTCAGTTTCTGTCGTTGACTGCACTGTCCCGTTTTTAGTTCTCGCGAGACTTTGCGACGTGTTGCAAGCAGGGTGTAATCTCGGGAGGTCTCAAAGCGAGCGCAGTGAGGAACAAATAGCGTGAAGATTTAGAAAACGTGCATTAAAGCTAACGGGGCTTTTGCAACATTTCCGCAAGAAGGCAGCCCCCGTTGACTTTAGACTATTTAAAACTCTCTAGCGACGAGAGATAGTTCGTTTAGCTGCTCTTTTCGTAACTTGGGAAAAAGTTTAAGGCAAGGCTTGCACGGCTCGGAGTACCCACCTCAGAGCAGAAAGTCAAGTCCGGTGGTCGGTAGTTGATTCTGCAGGAATGTCGCAGAGAGAGAGACCCAAGTTTTACCGGCAGGACGTCAACAAGACGATATGGGAAGTCCCGGAAAGATACCAAAACCTGTCCCCGGTTGGCTCTGGCGCCTACGGAACCGTGAGGTGAATCTGCAGTTTTTATTTTTTTCGTGTTAGTTTTGTGAACGTGTAGCAGTTCACTTAACCTCCATTCATTTAGACGAGGCCTGCGCTGCAGATGCTAAAGTTAGGTTAGCTCGTCCCCAATCGTTGGCTAGCAAGGTGGAGCCACGATGTTCCCTTTCAGCAAGAAAACCTGTTGACTTGTTGTGTATCTGGTATTGTCTCCTTGTGTAATTGAATATGACTAACTGCATGTATATAACGTTGTATAGGCTACTCACACATACAAACTCCCCCCATACTGCAGGAAACAATAACTGGACTGTTGGAAAAAGTGTGTGTCCTTATGTGATCAGTGGGCTATGTTACATTCACAGACCAATAAATAAATAATAAATAAGCAACTCTTCTCACACTGTGGCTGCAGATCATGTTTCCATAGGTTACTTTAATGTCTTTTACATTACATTATCTCTGTAAAGTCCCACCGACAGGAGATGTAATCCGAGTAAGCTAGAGTGAGGTGATCAGATATAGTTGGCGTGTTCCTAATGTGTTATGTGTAATATTACAAATATGGTTTTGACTCACTGCCTTCATATTGATCATGTGACAATATCTATTATTGTTGCTTCCGTGCATATGTTTTATTTAAAGTAATGTTTACTAATGTTGACAAGATCTGCGAGTTATTTTCACTCATAATAGTTTAATAAATATATATAGTCATTTAGAAAGGAAAATGCGCTGTTTAAGCCAGATAAAGTCTGAAAATGTGTAGTTTTTGTCAGTTTTATAAAATTGAAAATTGAAAATCTAACAACTTTTTAATGAAATGAAAGTAATTATTAGTTGCAGCCTCAGTCCAGACGGTTGTGATACAGCCAGTGGAATGACTTTTAGGCTCATCTCTCTACAGTGAATGTTTTCAGTAATGATAAACAAATTTACAGTACAGGGACATTTGCATTTACAGTGGAGGTCATGGGACCTTGCTGTTAATGTGGATTTCCGTAATGGTGCTTTGTGGCAAATGCACAAGCTTTCACAGGGTTGACCCTTTACATTGGTCTGGTGATTAAATAGGTTGTGCTGATACTATCTAGGACACAACATTGTCAGTGGTAAACTTGATTTAGTGGGCAGATGTTTGTTTTGCAAATGGAAGCAGACAGCTGTGCTGTTGCTGGGCAATAGGATAATCTGTTGCTGGTCAGATTACTGTCCGCTCGCCAGTGCATCCAGTGCAGTGTCTGTGATTGTTTTTTTTTTTTCTTTCTTTGAGACAGTGCAATCTTATATTGTCTGTGTTTACATAATGGTCTCGACCCTAAGTTAACTGTGAGCCTCTGACCGGTTTATTTATACTGGAACTGCACAGCTAAACTACGTTGTACAATGTTGAGATGGCACATATCTGAATAATTTACAGTATATTGAAAACACTGATAATAAAATGTAGTTGTCTCAATCAGAAATGTACACAGTGCTTTTATCTAACATGCTTTACAATTAGTGTCATATTCGCATACGCACACAGGCCTATGGTAGCCAACTACCATGCAATGCACTGGCCTCACCATCTGGAGCAATTTTAGCATTGACATGTGAACAGGAGGAGCCAGGAGGTTGAACCAGTAACCCTGCCATTAATGGACAACTCTATTATACATATTTACGTATAAAAGTTTTAAAAAAGTTGGATACCACCAAAGCAGTAAATGTCTGTGTAGCTTCACATTTTTATGAAAGTATAATTCCTGAAATGTTTTGTCCAGAGGCCTTTAGAGGGCCCTTTTTCTACTTTGATAACTGATTTATATTTTTGAGGTTGAGAATCCAGTTTCTCTCTCTGCAATGCACATTTGTCGTCTTTTTTGGGATTCTACATATTCATAACTTGGCTGTTGCGGATAACATTCCTATCGATTTTGTTTTCTAAAGATATGCATGTTTTATTTGCTTGACACATTTGTATTAACTGACAGAAAAGACATCGGTAGTGGTTGATATGGAGGGTAAGTATTGCATATTTCAGCTTCAACAAGTGGTGATATTGGTGTCACAGGTGGCTCCTCTGGCTGCTGGCCTGCTCTCAATCTGCTGAGAAGTGACATTTTCTGCTGATGTTGCCCTTTTTTCAGCCTTCAGCAGCTCTTACTGCACCTACTTTGGTTTTGAGAGCAAACTCAGCTCATTCTGAGCCAAAACAGTTTTTCTCATCTGCCTACAAATGACAAGCTTGCTTTTCATTTCAAGTTAATTTCTAGTTCAAAGTATTTTGTAGATTTTCAGAACTTGTAGCTTTTATTCTTTAAATCAGTTCATGCTGACAAAAAAAGTATATAACTATTATTATTAGTAGTAGTATTATTACTGATGAGATTAAAGCTTACATGTTTGTCCGCTTTTTCAACAGTTCTGCATATGATATGAGTACTGGTTTGAAGGTTGCCGTGAAGAAGCTCTCTCGGCCATTTCAGTCCATCATCCATGCCAAGAGGACGTACCGAGAGCTGCGGTTGCTTAAGCACATGAAACATGAAAATGTGAGGAAACTTGTTTCTCTTCCCTTTGTTCTGCCTGGTGGTGCACAGGCGTGAAAAAAAATACACTGTTTGCATTTGCCTATGTAATGCCTCACAATGTGTTTGCATAAAGAAAATCTGCAGTTTAATTATGGTTTTAGTTGTCCATTTTTATTAACTTGACAGTGGCTTTCATATTTTTGCAGGTGATTGGCCTCCTAGATGTCTTCTCCCCTGCTACTTCTCTGAAGGAATTCACTGATGTGTAAGTTGTGTTTGTTTAGAATTATTATTGTTATTACCTAAGTTTCCCTCTGCCCTTAGGCTCGGGGTCATCTCAGCAACACTTTTGTGAATAATTTAAAAGCAGTGCTCAAGAAAGTGCGGCCTGTAGTTTCTCAGCAGCAGACAATCCTAGCTGTGGCTGGGAAACACCTGGAGACTGGCCAGCTGACTAACACGTTGGAACATTTCTTCGATTCTCCACTCTGTTAGTTATTCACTGTCTGGCTGCTACGAGAGTTGTTTCACCACCAGCTTCCTTCCCTTTGCTTCCTGCTTTCTGGGCTTTGTGAAACATATGTACTTGCTAGCAAACAGGTAGTTATTGTTTGTTGATGTTGAAAGTTGTCCGAAATGAGAAGTGGACAGCTAGACGGTGACTCAGTCCTCAGACGTGCGCGCTGTCTCCCCCGTTGTGCCTCTTCTCTACAGACACTGAGTGACTTGTATCAAGTATTAAATTCTGACAGTTGACACCCAAAAAAAGAATGTGTCTCAGTTGAATACTGGGAGTCAGATTTCTCTTCCCCCACTCACTTTGGATGTCATTCTTACTTCACCCATGTATGGAAAATTATTCCGTAAGATTTTACTCATCCTAAGTATTTTGGAGCAGTCGGGGAGTGAGCAGTGCAGCACCCAGGGACCCACTTCATGTCTGAGGCCTTGGTCAACAGCATTGGCAGGGTTATTTCTAATTCCTAACATGCATGTCATTTTATGTGGGAGGAAATCCACAGAAATGTCAGGAGAACATGTAAACTCCCAAGACTAGAACCCAGAAATCTCTAGTTTTGAGGAAGACAGTGCTCTCTGGTTTTTACCCATGGGAAACTGCAATGATTGCTAAACAGCTTAGTCATGCAACTACAGTTGAGGATATGCTGTTTGAAAGGATTTCAGAACCTGTTCCAAGTGGTTGGCATATGCAAATCAGCTATATATTTATATGTGCTAAGGGGAAGTTATTGGAGTCACATAAATGTTAGTTTATGTGGCATTCTTTGAGTGTGTTCACCAATAGTGTACTTCCAAATGTGTTGCATACCGTCTGGCAGTCATTCAGAATTTTACTTCATAAAAGTGTATTCATTTTTTATCTTAATTGAGCTGGTGTTTGTTTCAGGGGAGGTGGCCCACAGCTAAAAAAAACTGTAGGAAACCCTGCATCCATACTACACCACAAATATGGTCTCAAGCCTCCCAGACCGCTGAGAATGGGTTGTTTTTCTGGTGCATTCATGCCTTTATTCAGAGCTCAGACTTTGCAGTAAACTACGATTTACTGCAAAATGTGAACAAGGTCCCAGACGTTGACAGCTTGGGCTGATGCAGAGTAGTGAAGTGTGCTGAAGTTTGCCTTTTTCCCTCAGTCATCTCCCAGAATAGCCTCTGTGCCATGCAGTGTGACTACCTGACCTTTTCATATTTGACAAGAAAATGAGCTGTAGTAAGAGTTGCTATCTTTGTGGATATCTTTTTTTTTTTTTTTTTAAGGGGAACAGATTTTACACATCAAAGTCTGTTTACAGGCTACAGGGAGTACTACTGCATTGGTGAAAAAAGCTGAAATATAGCCTTTTGTGGCTCAAGAGGGAGCTGTTTTAAGTATAATAACTTGCTTCAAGCAATGTCACTTAAAAATCTGGAGGTTTGTAGTTAGAAAGAAGTGAGCTTACTACATTAGCTGCTGCTAGCATAAAAAATTCCACTCTACAACCAACAGTCTGCAGTTGAGTTGCATTGTGGGTAATGCAGGAAGCGGATTTTGACAAGGAAGAGGACAGCATGGAATAAAAATGGATGATATCTCTGGTTCTGCAACATTCATTTTCCCTTAGAGGAGTTCATCGTGTTTGCAGCTGAAATGGAGAGCCATCCTCTCAGTTTAGCATAATGTCATGGAGAACTGAAGGCAATACAAGGTCACACGTGTAGACTGTGTGTGACACTGGGCTCCTGAGGGAAAGGAAAATAGTCGGGTAGTGTGGAAACAGAAATTGGTGCCATGAAGTTTCTCCTGCACTACGTAGGAGAATGAATGCTGAGTCACCGGTTGTCAGAAGGAAATAAGTCTCTTTATCTGCACATCTGCTGTAACACTGGAAATGTGAAATGAGTGCAGTATGATATCCAGGAACAATCTCCGATATGCAGGTGCTGAAAGTGTGGTTCCCCTCTGCTCTAAAAATACAGACTGAGTCACAACGCTGTGGTAAGGCTCCTCAAAGGTCCAGCCATGCTCCTGTTTCTATAGGAGAGAGGAAAACAGAGGTCACTATTTATATCCCTTTTTTTTTTCTCCAAGGCAGGGTGAACTTTGGAGAGTGTCTGTGTCCCTGTGTGCTGCTGAGAACAAGCTCAAGCGTAACCAAGTGCTATTTTAAGTTCTTGCTCTCTGTGCTGTATATGAATAGAAGAGTATTCATGAAATGGGTATTTGTTGAGCAGCAGACTGACGAAACGGCACGCAGCTCTGTGTGTTTTGGCTGTAAAACTGCCACTGTAGCATCCTCTCGCCTTCTTTCATAAGTACTGTTTGGGCATTTCAAACAGCTCTGGGATTAGATTTGAATTATCCACTGCTGTTGTCCCATTAAGCCCATTTATCTGGGTTTGTTGTTAAATTACATTCCATTTGTGAAGGGCTTGGCCTTTCAGTGCCTCTGGAGAGAACTGAGAGTGAAAAGAAGTAGCAGCTAAACCGGTTTAAGCTCACTTAGCCATATGGGAAATTAGTTTCAGGCTGCAAACAACCCTGGAAAAATTTGTTGGAAGTGCAAATATATTTATTTATATCCATCTGGGTTTTTTGTGAAGTGAGAAAACATTGACATGCCTCCTGATATTTCTGTCTCTTTAAACTGTGATGACAATCTTTTATGATTGGCAGGTATCTTGTGACTCACTTAATGGGGGCTGATCTCAACAACATAGTGAAATGTCAGAAACTCACAGATGACCATGTGCAGTTCCTCATATACCAGATCCTCAGAGGGTTAAAGGTGAGGTTGTTAAAGGAATAGTTTGACATTTTGCAAAATATGTTAGATGAGAAGATTGGTACCACTCTCGTATCTGCTTGGCATAAAGACTGAAGTCTCTGCTGGTTGCCTGGCAACCTCCCAGTGACAATAAGACCAAAGGAAGTCACTGCACCTAGACAAGAAATAGTCCCACGTGTAACCTTCCGTAAAATGAAGAAATATGTTTTTATACTTCAGCTTTGTACAGATTAAACAAACCAGATATTGTGTGTTAACTAGTGAGATGTAGAGATGCTGGTTGACAGATTGCGTTACTTTTGGACAGAGCCAGGTCTGCCGTTTCCAGTCTTTATGCTAAGCGAAGTTAACCCTCTCCTGCCTGTATTGAACAGACAGATATGAGAGTGGAATTAATCATCTCATCCCATCTGACTTGGCAAGAAAGTGATTAAGTGTATTTCCCAAAATGTGAGATGAATCATGTGCTTCCTACATTGTACTGCAGTGCCTCTGACATTTTATGTTGTGGTAAATCAATACATCTTTAAACTAATATTGTAATTTAATGCACTATTCTCCTTTATCCCTCTCCAGTATATCCACTCAGCAGACATCATTCATAGAGTAAGTGCGATGTGTGACTTTTGTCAGACAAATGTCACTTTGTCTTTGACCCTGATTGGATCTTTGAAAAAAAGTGTGTCAGGGTTTATGAAATCTTCCACTTGGCAGAGTTAGGCCCGTGGCTTGTGCAAACACTGAAGGGAAGGGAACTCATAAACATGACCTTTTGCATGGTGTTAATGATGTGATGCTTTTTATTATCATGAGAAGGGACAGATTTGTTTCCACACATGAAAAGTATAAAAACACAAAATTATCATTAACTAAACTTAAATTACACTTTCACGTTCTCATTTATGGCTTTGCTCCCTTCAGGATTTGAAACCTAGTAATCTGGCGGTGAATGAAGACTGTGAGCTGAAGGTCAGTGAACTGCTGCTCTTATTTAAAACATTGAGTTCACGAATGTGAATATTTTTGCAAACAGCTCTGCTTTTTTTACACTTCATTTGCTCCCAGATTTTGGACTTTGGGTTGGCGCGGCACACTGACGATGAGATGACTGGCTACGTGGCCACCCGCTGGTACCGTGCCCCAGAGATTATGTTGAACTGGATGCATTACAATATGACAGGTAGATAACATTAAAAAGCTCTCTTAAATGTATGCACCTATACATCATGATAAAAGAGTTGTTCGACAAGTGAATGCTAATGTCTTGCTTTTCTGTGTTTCAGTGGATATTTGGTCAGTGGGGTGTATAATGGCAGAACTCCTCACTGCAAGAACTCTGTTTCCTGGTACTGACCGTATCCTTTTCATTTGAGAGTACAGTACGTACAGAGCTCTTAGTGAAACTCTGACACCTCATTTGCATAACAAATGAAACAGGTTAAACCCACATTGACAGGGAAGTATTGATTTATATATTTTTTGCCAGCACCGTAGCAGAATTAGATCTGCAAGGCTTCTTTTCTGTTTCCTCTCTTGAAAATCTGCTTTTCATCTTTTCTCCTGCAACATGACGCTGCCCAAGGCTTTTTTTAATATTAAAAATGTAACAAAGATGGTACCTGTTTCCACTCTTCCCTCTAGCTTGACACTTTCTCTTTGCTGTAATGTTTCCACTGGCGTGCTTCAACTCTTCCTACCCGGCCAGTGTGCATTGTTGGCTCGAGGCCACTTAATGCCTGCATTACTGCCAGTCTTTGTATGGGCCTATCAATCTGCAGCGTTTGTGCTCAAGATTTTGTTTATCTTTCTCTCCCCTTGCCAGTGTTTTCAGACGGCTGAGCTTCTAAATTAAATGTACAACAGGACTGTCTGCTGCCTCCTTTTTTGTCAGCTTACATTTCAAATACTTTATCTTCTCTTCTCTGAGCAGACTTGTTCTCTTTTGTCGCATCTAATGTGTGAAATATAAAGCGAATATAGTGAAATTTCACAGATGGTTTTGAAGTGACATAAGTTTCACAAGGAGGATGAGGTTACAAGTTCCCCTTGTTAACATCTGGTCTTCCTTTACCGTGTGCCGGTAGACATCGATCAGTTGAAGCTAATCATGCTTCTCGTTGGAACACCAGGGCCCGAGCTCTTGATGAAAATATCTTCAGAGTCTGTGAGTTCACAAAGTTCTGCAAGGTTTTTCTCTAACCAGTTTTCTGCTCCAAACTCCAAAGCACACTGTGCAATAACTTGTTGTCTCTGCTACCTAACTGACGGCATGTTTTCCACCCTTCAGCTTTGTGGGTTTGGTACTTATGTTTGCCGCGATATGATTATGAGACAAGTGATTGAGCTCTGACTTTCACTGATTGACTGTAATGCAAAATATTGTTGTGTCTGCCAATTCCTCTGCTTAACGTTTTTGTCACATTTTGCTTCAAAGCTTGAAGTTTGCTTTTCAGCATAACATTGTAGTGCATCTAGATGTAAACCGCACAGTGTTAGATTGAGAATCAGCTTCTTAACCAGCTCTGCTCTGTCGCTATACTCCCCTTGACACAAGCTTCATAGATATAAACCAGCTTCAGCAGATAATGCGTCTGACAGGAACGCCCCCAGCATCTCTAGTCAACAGGATGCCCAGCGCTGAGGTGAGCAGGATCTACGGTTGCTTTATTTAGACCAGACAGCAGGCCGGGCCGGGAGGACAGTCAGACCTTCTATAACTCTTTTTCTTTGCTTTCAAAGCAACGCAGCTCTTCGCTTAGTACTATACTAACATATATCCATATATAGAATAACGGCAGTGACATTTGCCTCTGTGATAAGGGAATGGAGGTGTTAATGGCCACATACGCTGGACTAGAATCACTTAGTTGACTCAAACTACTTTGGTCTAGTGGGGTGTAAGGAGCAGCACAGCCTCTAGGGGCCACTATCAGCAATCCCTAGTTTTGCCCTTTAATCATAGTGATAATCATTCTGTGATGTCTGACACGCTTGCTGCATGTGACTGCAACAGTGAAACGCATTTCTGTGCTTGTTGTTTGACTTAGCTAGTATTAAAATGTCATTAAACATGAACTAGACTCACTGTTGGTGATTAAAGTAGGTACTAACAGCATTTTCTGTGTGAAAGATGCTTTGTTCTGTGGTTTTCTTTCTGTTTTTGTTGCACATTTCCTGAAACTTGCTTCTCTCTATGTTTTTATGTATTTATGTGTTATTTTTCATTTAAAGTGATAGAATAATCGACAATTTGCAACCTAAACAATGAATCCGTCTTTTTGTTTGAGGTGTTGAGTCTTCACTCACACAGGAGATAGCAGGGTCTTTTCTTTTAACAGATCTTTGGGGCTTGTTATTTTTAGTTTTTAATTAGTTATTAAAACAGAATAAAAAAAAAATGATGAAAATTGGACATGACATTTTTTATTTGCAGTGTAAACTTGATTTATCTGTTTAAATCAGACGTCTTAAAAATGCTGTTCCTCCTGCAGCCCGAATTTCGATCACATAAAGATGTCTTGCTGTCACACTTCAGGGTTATCAATCATATATTTGCTGCAAGCTACACATAGCTATCACCAACAGCTGCATATGTGTTTTTGACTGCTTGCGTCTGACTTTAGGCAGTCAAAAACCTGTAATAACACAACTTTGAGTTCTTTTGTATATGTTGGCGTAATTTCTGCTATGGGTGGTCAGTAAAAATGAGTCCTGCTCGTCACAAGAGGACCTAGTTTACCTGCAGACACACTCGTTTTGGTGTTTATATACTTTTGGGATTATACAATACAGTCACATCCGTAAACATAAATGTAATCAGTGTGCAGCAGTGATTTGATGTAGGTGGCTACATTGAATAGAATCAGGAGCATATAAGTGTGTCAGCATTATGAAGCCGACCGTACTTCACTGTATTTATTTTTCCAGGCCAGGAACTACATCAGCTCCTTGCCACAAATGCCCAAGAGGAACTTTGCTGACGTGTTCATTGGTGCCAACCCACAAGGTAATACCAGAGGAAAACGGGCTGTGCTATGGTTCAGGCCTTGCTAAATGGAATTAATTTTGTAATTGTTTTTCTTTTTGAGTAATATTTGTGTAAACTGGCCAAAACTTAACATGAGAAGACTTTTAATGGATCACAGACTGTTTGAGGTTTACATGTTGACATGTTTTTAAGCTGTGGACCTTCTGGAGAAAATGTTGGTTCTGGACACTGACAAGAGGATAACAGCTGCGGAGGCTCTGGCTCACCCCTACTTCGCTCAGTACCACGACCCAGATGACGAGCCCGAGGCCGAGCCGTACGACCAGAGCTTTGAGAGCCGCGAGCTGGAGATTGAAGAGTGGAAACGTACGTATTTATTCTACACAGAAACTCTAATACCAGAGAAATATTTTTATATGTCTGTTAGATATAAAGCCATAAAAAATACTGATGCGTATTTGAACATTTTCTCGTTTTTCTCACAGGATTAACCTACGAGGAGTTGTGTAGTTTTGAGCCACCTATCTTTGACGAGGATGACATGGAGTAACGAGACGTGCTACCCACATCGACCCCAGCCTCCAACAATTCGAAACAACCTCGAACTTGTGCATTAGTGTTCTCTCAGACACACTTGTATCAGAGTGCCTACCAACGTTCGTCAGTCTTTATTAACCGAGGAAGCATTGTCCACGATTAGCTCTTGTAAGGAGATCATTACCAGCGCAGGAGAAAAGGAAGAGTTTGACCAATTATCATTATTCTTATTTATGAACCACTAATGTTGATGGTCCGTTGCTGGGAAATGTCACTTCTTGCCGGTAGCTGAAATAATTTTATATTCTTCAGATTTTTAAAAAGATTTAGACTTTGATGACTCATCACTGTGACACTGAGATGCTGAAACGCCTGGACCTATAGCTGTGCTATTCTGTGTTTTAAAATTTTCTATTGAGTAACTTATGAATAAGCTTTTGTTGTCTATCAGTTGAGAAAGGATTACGCTAGTCTACCACTCACCCTGCCAAGCTGTCACATATAGCACTGGGTCGCATGTATTTGTAAAATTACTTTTTTGATTCAGCTATCGCCATGATTGTTCCTATATTTAAAAAGTGAACTCTGAAGGGATTCATATCTGTGACAGTAGTTTTTAGGTTTTTAGGTATTTGTCAATTTGAGAATGTGCCTGTTCTGTGTAGTCGCTGACATTTTTAGTGCTCAACAACTGAATTTTTCACATTTTAATGTTTATTTTGATTTATTTAGATGCTCAGTGAGACTGTATACATTGTGGCTACACACAAAAATCTGAGCCTCTGCTGTTTAAGGACAGTACTATTCAACAAGGCACCTAAATAGGAAAAAAAACATTCATTCGTACATGCTCTGCTCAAAAATATGTAAATATCTGTGCCATATTTTTTTAAATCTCTGACGTACTGTCGATGTGTTATGAAGCAATCACTTTTTAGTATGTTCATCAGTTAAAGACTTTGTGTGCGTTTGTGAGAGTGTGTTGTTGGTTTACAGGAATTTTAAGTGTCATGCTAAAACCTCTAATAGAAATACTGCTTAAATGTGTTTAAAGAGGGATTTCAGATGTATTTATACTTTGTGGAGGTGGTATTTATAAACAACAATCGAATGATCCCTTAAACTATTTTCAATCCTGCAGAGTAACTACCATCTTCAGTCCTTTGTTTAACAAAATAAAGACTTATTTTTAAGAGAACTATTGTATTTCCTCTACAGCATATTTATTTCCTATTTTCCAAACACTTATTTTATCAACAGTGCCTCTCTCAGTGATTTCACTTGAGAATAAATGAATGCATTGACATGGAGGATTTTACAAGAGGACAATGACCTGCAAGTTATTTATGTTTCTTGATAATTAATGCATATTTTGACTTTCTCTCAAGGACCTGCAGTGATGACAAGTGCTATATCTGCCATGCTAAAGTGTTCTTAAGCATAAACAGAATCTGCAAAATAGATTTGAAAAACCTGAGATTGGCTGTTCAATCACAAACAGGAAAAAAGGACTTGGTCTTGGAATAAGTAACTACCTTTTAAAGATGTCTTGACTGCACTGTAAATCATCTTTGTGCAGAGGAGGGATGACTGCTGTATTTTTGTCTGTGGTTCAGCAGTACTTTTCAAATGGAAAATCAATGTTGCCTTCATGTCTCTAAAGTGCCACGTTATCAGTTACCAATGTTAAATGCCCATTAACACAAGATGCTGACAAAATAATGCTAAAAGTATATCCTGCCCTGGTTTATGGAACAGAGCTCTGATATCCTCAGGTGATATTAACCTTAAAAAAGATATATTGAGTAAAAACAAAAAGAAATCACAGTTTGTGTTGCGTTTATTAACAGTAAAAGGTCCTTATCAGTACATATTTTAGTCACAACTTTTGTTAACCAAATTTCATGTCATGCATATCAGAAAAACAGGAATATTAGACAATATATCATTATCAGATTTATAGACTGTCAAGTATTAACCACAGATACTACCCCTATAGTGACTTAATCTAGTTGTTCATATGTGTTGTTGTGGCCACAAACCATTTAATCACCTCACTTTCCATCAGGCAGACCATTTGACACTGTGCAACTATTTGCCAGTGTTACTTTAAGTCAACATACTGTGGCCATTCTCATACAGTTAAAGTTAATAAAAGGTTAACAAATGAGTTACACATAAAACACTTCTTTACAACTGCCTCTGTTGCCCTGCAGCTCCAGTGTAGTAAAATGATAAAAAAAAAAATAAAAAAAAGGTTTGATGCTCAGGTGGAGACATCACTGGGGAAGCTCCCCTTGAGCAAAAACGAACCACTGCGCATGCGTGGAACATTCGATCACTGGTGGTGTAGCTAACGGCTAAGCTACGAATCCAGCCAACATGGAGAGAAAAGGTAAATCTTTACACCGACATGCCGTACACTGTATGAGTAATGTTAGCCCGTGTGTGTGTTGACACTGCACTGTGTGTTTCCTCCGCGGTCACAAATGTGAAGTTTAGCCGAGCTGCATACGTTCAGACTGTGGTTTAATTGAACGCGTCTGTCACGCACTGTTGAGCTACGTTAGCTCTCTAGACATTAGCTTTAGCTTCAATGGGACATGTCAGGATTATCTAGCTAGCTGCGTTTCTAGCTCTTTCCATTTTACCTACAGCTTAAAACACCCACTACATAAACATGAGCTAGTTGCTGTGTTAACCGAGCAGCTAGCCCCCCGTGTGTGTATGTGTGTGTTAAAATAATTGACTGTCGTTGGTGTTTTTAGAGGAACGGTTACCAAGGTGGATAGCTTAGTGATGTAATTTAACGTTAGATGGCTTCCAGTATCGCACTGGGAGACTGACAGACCGACAGACCGACAGATGCACTGCAACTGTGATTTAGATATCTATAGTTCATGTGACATAATACACTGCATAATGACCGAGTTCCTGAGCTGTAGGGCGAGGTAATAGTTGAATCCTTTGCCTCAGACAGTGTCATCAATTATTATTATTTTTTGTCTTGAGTGTCAGCTAGACAACAAACGGCACCCAGACAATGGCAAAATAATTGCTCACTGGTTTTCTTCTGACAGTTCTGGCACTTCAGGCGAGGAAGAAGAGGGCGAAAGCGAAGAAGACCAACAAAAAGTGAGTTGTTTTTTTTAAAACCACCCTCAAAGCTCGTCGTCTCCTCATGTTGTACACGGCACCCCCTTTTAAGCATGCATCTTGTCAGTTTTCGAGGTGGTTGTTTTGTTGCAGTCTTGACACATTTGCAGCCTGGACATTGGTGCAGACATGTGAGAATGACACAGGGTCCTTGAATGCATGCTTGCACACGTTTATTTTGGTCTGTGCGTGATCCAACGATAAGGCAGTGCAAGACTGATATGAACACATGTCAAAATAATGCACTCTGGGTTGATTTCCATAGCTTTCCATGTTTGCACGGGTTCAAGTAAGGGCAGCAGCATTATTTATTTGGACAGTTATTTAAATGGGATGTAAGTTGTAAGCCATCCGTATAGAATGTGCAGCATGCAGTGCCTTAAATAAACTACTCCGTGGCTACGTCCTACTATCATAATAATTTATGAATGATTGCATTAAGATAATGCAACATTTAGGGCTCAAAATAGACCACTCAAGGGTTGATTTCCAATACTGATTGTTTTTGTGTACCTAACAATCTACTAATCATGCCATCAGTGGCATCCTCCAGTGTGTTACATAACAGCCTGTGCTATATTTAAAAACCAGAGAATGAAGAAGCCCACATCAGCCCACCGAAGCATGGTGTTTCACTGAAAACAGTATTATTGCCGATACTTGCCTCTCCTGACCGTGCTATCTTCATGGCTGAAACTGGCATGTCCATTATGCATAAGAATCATATGATACTAAGAAACTAAAAATAACTTAAAACAGTACCGTTGCATGCCACAGTCATCCCTGCATGCTGAGCACCATATGTATGGAAGAGCGATGACGCTCTCAGTCAATTTGAGGACATAACAAAGTGTAAGATCTATTGCTCTGAATCAGGTGTCAGGATCAGTTCAGTGAAACCCCTCAGCCACCAGAACAACTTAGGTATTAAATACACAGTTGCCTTCACACCTATTGTGACGAGCACCCACTCAAAATTAAAGCAGCCATGTTTTATTTATCTTTTTCATGAAAAGATGGCTAATTGGAGTTGTGTCTGGCTCCACATTTAAGTAATGGTATTCCTTTTGTTCATCCCTGTCTTTATTCTTCGTTAGTGAATTAAGAGCTGTGACTGAGTATGAGACTTGAGATGATAAATTATTATTTAACCAATTATGATACAAATGTGTTATTAATGAGAATAATTACACATTTCACTAATGCAAGAGTGCATGTCAAATGGAAAAACGTCATTAGAAAGTCAAAATCTCATGAAAATTATTCTGTAATTAATTTTAGCTGTCATTTGTGCACAAACATGCAGTAAAGCCTCTCTGTTTCAAACAACCGTGTCAGACATGAATAAGTAGGTTGCAGATTATGTGGAAAGCAGCAGCCCATTTGTGAGACACTACAGACCAGTTTAGGAATTTATTTGAATGTGATCTCTGCTCTCTTGGCTCTTATGGTGATGAGCAGCCTTAATCTCCTCTGTGGAGGAAGTAACATCAGGCTGTTTGGCTTTTAAGTTATTATTAGGAGCTGAACTGTTGGCAAACACAGATTATAGGATGTTACACATATATAAACGGCCAATAAAATCAAAAATCAAAAAAATTAATTCAAAAATCTCTAAAATGCTTAGTCAATTATTAATTTCACATTTTATGACTAAATTAACCAAACCTCAAATGAGAGATCAATCCCATTGAGCTACATTCTGCTCATAAAGCTGATATATCCCTGTATGAAGGGCATTGTATATTCAAAATGTACACTTACCCTGGCCTTACTGTTGTTCAGTGGTGCATGATGGTTTGATAAAGCTGCAATTACAGTCAAAACACCAGGGATTGTACTTTGTGTCTTACATCTGACAACCTCACATAATAACAAAATAATTGAGCTTTGTCATTGTGGGACATAAGTGGCACACTGGCTTGTTCCCTAATGTTTTTCTTAATGATCATGCGTACATGTTTTCTTCTTTAACGCAGTTGCAGTTTTCTTGTCCCTGATCCTTGTTATTAATTGCAGAGTATATACCAATATCAAGTACTGATGTCTGGATTCAGCAGTGTCTTTTCCTAAATGATACAGTGGCACAGTGCAAACTCAACCCAAAATAGGACTGTGGTTAAACTAGTAAAGCCATTCTTGTTCAGACAGATGTTGACATTGCCAGCGCAAATTTATTTAAATGTTTCCTTTTGTATTGTGTTCATAAAGTGTGATATCTGTAGGAGGAGTATCAGTGTGGATCTGTTGTGGCAGGAAGGTTTGGACAAGATCTTGACAGCCTCTCTTTGTCAACTGCATGAACAAAATCTAGAAGTTCAAATGCAGTTTGAATCATCAGCAGATCTTTGTAGGCGTGGTCCACCTGACAAATGTTTTTATAACTTAAGGTGTATTTGCTTACATTGCTCTCTTGGAGCTTCTGTCAATGTGTAAGCTGCTGTTGATTTGTTTATAGAAGATAGAGATTAATTAAAAATAGGCTTTATTGTATATATATTATTATATTTTTAACAAGTTTAGCTCTGGATATCCCCACTATGTGTCTGAGCTAATGTAGTTCAAAATCATTCAAATTTCAACATTCTCCATGGTGATTAATATTCATTTAAATTAAATGTTTGGCTTAAATTAAGTGTCAAACCAAGACACATGTTAGCAGTTACACCAAAGCTCACAATGTAATTCCCAGTTGACATGATTCAAACTAACAACCCACCACAGGTTTACAGGGCTGGTGTCTGGCCAGTGTAGCTGTCTTGTGAGAATAATTCCAACTGCTGCTCTATTGTTTTGTCTTGGGAGCAGTTACCTGTAATACATTAAGCAGGATTTGGGTGTGGTTAAATGTATGAGGTGGTTAATGATGATGTTCACCAACTCTGCAGGAAAAGTAGAACATTTCTATTTTCTATCTTGTGAAACATTTGTCAAATAGGAACATTTCAATAATTAAAAGGCAGATTATTGGTAAGAGGTGCTGTGAAACTTAATATTCAAAGGACGAAAAAAAATATGTCTTTGGGACTTTGTTCATAATGAAGTCTATGCTGGTTGGTGTGCATGTGTCTGTCCATCAGGCAGCCAGTCAATCCCAGAGCTCGACAGCCGCCCCAGCTAGAAGCGTCGCCCCAGGAACCCGAGGAACCTGAGGAGATTCTCGGCTCTGATGATGAGGAGCAGGAGGACCCTAATGACTACTGCAAAGGTATGTGCTTAGTATGTTTACATGCACACTATAACCTAGTTTTTGTGAATAACCAGATTAAAAAAAATAAGCGTATATATGGTTGGCAGTAAATAAATTTCCCAAATAACTGAATTATTCCAATTAATTTAACAGTTAATTGCTTTAGTTAGATTATAATCTATAATGGCCGACCGGTTGTTGATCTATCTAATCAAGATGTATTTTCTTCTCATCTAGGTGGCTACCACCATGTGAAAGTAGGAGACCTTTACAATGGAAAATACCATGTAATCCGGAAACTGGGCTGGGGACACTTCTCCACCGTGTGGCTCGCCTGGGACATTCAGTATGAGAAACTCTTTACTGCATATTCTTACTGCACTGTTTTGTTTTTGAGGCCTGAAGTTGGATTCAGTACCAACTGTGAGTCTGTTGTAGTAGGACCTTGTATGGTGCTTTCCCTTAGAGAACGTTACTTGCTCTGTGGTTGCAGGGTGAAAAGGTTTGTTGCAATGAAGGTGGTGAAGAGTGCGGAGCACTACACAGAGACAGCAGTGGATGAGATCAAACTCCTCAGATCTGTAAGTAGCTGAGTTAATTGCACACAGTAGGTTCTGTGTGTTGGAAACGCAGTAAATGTACACAAATATGTGCTGCTGATATAGTGCCAACAAGGACAAGATGACCTTGCTTATAGTGCAAACCATGACAGACTTTACACAGTGACTGACTACACATAGACAATTTGCATGCATTGTGTGACGTTGAGCATATTAGGAATGTGTGTTGCTGAATGTTTATAGACATGTATACAAATAGTGTATTGGTCCAGTCTAATATTCTAAATTGTCTAAAATCTGATTAAATTGCGTTCTTCCTTTTCTTTGTCCCTTAGGTAAGAAACTCAGACCCCAATGATCCCAACCGGGAGATGGTGGTCCAGCTGCTAGACGACTTCAAGATCTCTGGAGTTAATGGAACTCGTATCCTTTACAGCCAAATATTGCTAATACTGGTCTTTTTTATGCTTTGATCATTTAATTGCTTCCTAACTGGAAATACTGAAGGTCTTTCTTTCCCCTGGTGTCAAAGTTAGCTGGAAAGCAGGATGTAAGTAGCAAAGTAAACAACAGGTGATCGGTGTACTGAATGGAAGCTTTTTGTGTCCACCTACCACAACACTTTGGCTGAGTAAGATCTCCTGAATGCCACAGGGATTGCTGTAGCTGTAATATGAGACTCGCTAACAACACTGTAGTGTTTGCACTCCTATGACCTGCCCTCTTTTCAGTATACATAAGGCTACCCTCATGTAGGTGGATGACTGCAGGACTTCAGCATGTTTAGTAAATGTTTTCTACCAATTGGTTTTCAGTTCGGCTTCAATTGTACTGTTTATCTTAACTGCTGTGATCTTCAGATGTCTGCATGGTGTTTGAGGTGTTGGGGCATCACTTATTAAAGTGGATAATAAAGTCCAATTACCAAGGGCTGCCCCTGCCATGTGTGAAGAGCATAGTAAGACAGGTAACATAAGACCCTCGGTGTCCTGCCTTTTGTTTGCTGGTGACTCCTGATGAAGGTTCAGTTGTAGCTTCTATTAGTTTACAAGTGCCAGGTAGCCTCCAGGCTGTGTGGCAGGTGGAAACAAGTCAGGGCAGAGCTTTTGTAGTGATTCAACATATGAACAGTAAGTTAGAAAAACATGCCTCTTAACATGACAGGCTGAGTGAGGAAAAATGTAAAGATATCTTTACTAAAAATAACAAATAAATTAACAAATTAAAAAATTTCTGTTCCTATGAGACGTATGTGTGTCAGCCTTTTATTCCATATATTTTAAATGTGTAGGAAAAATAAAACATGGAGAAAAGGATATTGAAATATTAAAAAAGGTGTGTTTCACTTCCATTAAAATACACAGTGAAATCATTCTCCATTCATTAATTTCCCAGGTACTCCAAGGCTTGGACTACCTACACACAAAGTGTCAGATCATCCACACAGACATCAAGCCAGAGAATATCCTGATGAGTGTTGATGAGCCTTATGTCCGGAAGCTCGCAGCTGAAGCCACTGAGTGGCAGAGGGCGGGGGCGCCTCCCCCCTCTGGTTCAGCAAGTATGAGAGACACACACACACGCACACACACACACACACACACACACACACACACACACACACACACTATCATATGTACATCCATGAGCACAATTTGGTAACAGTTTGTACTCATCTTATAATCTCTTTTCAGTAAGCACAGCGCCTGCTCCAAAACAGGTACAAACCTTCATAATTTACTTTTTGCATCAGCATCACCACATTTTCAGTATGACACACATTTAAAGTAGTCCCACAAATATTCAACTATCCATCTATTATTATCTATTCTTCTTCTCCTGCTCATCTCCGGCAGACAGTAAAAATGTCCAAGAACAAGAAGAAGAAGTTAAAAAAGAAGCAGAAGCGCCAGGCGGAGCTGCTGGAAAAGTGCATCCTGGACCTGGAGGAGATGGAAAAGACCACAGAGACACGAGAGGAGGAAGATGATGAAGACGAGGACCCACAGTCTCCAAAGGGACGGGCCTGTGCTCCTCTCAGACAGGTGTCTCTTTTGGAGCTAGGAAACGAGGAAACAGGGGGTAAGAACCCAACGTCACAGGAGTCAGTTGTGCTTCTTACATTTCTAATGACGTTGGTTAAAGTTCTGTCACGGTTGTAAGGCTGTGATAAAATCCCTGGTGTGACTCATTTGAAAATAATTGTCATCTGTCTTTTTCTGACACTTTCAGAAAGCAGTGTGAATGCAGATCTTATAAGGGTGGGACCAGAAGGGCTGTTAGAGGTGAACTGCAATGGCCATGTGGACGTAGACCAGAGGCAATCCCAGTGGAGAGACGAAGACCAACACAACGGCAACGCAGAGCCCACAGAGAAATGTGCCAGTCAGAAGGAGCGATGCAAGGAGTCCCCAGTTCACCCTGTCTGCAACGGTTTGGACTCTGCAGATGTCAAGGAGCTGGATGTTGAGACTGAAGGCAGGGTTGCTCACAGCAGTGGAGTCCCTGAGAGACACCTTCCTACTGGGCCGGAGGAGGAAGAACTGGAGCAAAGCATTTTGCGGGAGGAGGGGGAGGATGGATCTGACTGTCAATATACAACTGAGGAAAGCCTGAGAAATGGTCAGTCAGCCAAAACCAGTGCAATCAGTACTAACTGCAAAGAGGTTTTGTGGGAGCTGTTTGCTCTGGCTGGGCTGCTTTAGAAGTTTAATAAAGGCTCAGCAATGTGGACTTAAAATATTGATCATTAGGCTCTTCTTTTAGTAGATGTTTAGTCCATCCATAAGTTTCTCTCTCTTTCTCTCTCTGCTCTGATGTAGGCAAGCTCACAGCAGGATCCCTGCTAGTTAACCCCCTTGAGCCAGTCAATGCGGACCAGATCAAGGTCAAGATTGCAGACTTGGGAAATGCCTGCTGGGTGGTGAGTAGGCTACTAATGACCTGAGGGATTTCCTGATTAGGGATGAAGCCGAGGGACACATCCAGTGTCATCTAGCTACCAAAATAGAAATACTTTAATCTTTCAGCGCTTTGTTTAATTTTTTTGTATTGATCTAAATTTTAAGATGGAATTAACACACATTTATAATTACTGAATGTACTACTTCTGTCATAACAGGACACAATATGTATGCTCTGTTACTTGTGGAATTGTTTTAGTATTTAATTCTCCTACTCCATCTCCCTCTCTCAGCACAAGCACTTTACAGAAGACATCCAAACACGGCAGTACCGGTCCTTAGAGGTGCTCATTGGTTCTGGATACAGCACACCAGCTGATATATGGAGCACAGCCTGCATGGTGAGAGATTGCATTGTCAATCAACTATAGCACAACCTAAGAAAAAAATCCTAGTCCATTCGCCCTTTAAAAGTCGCACTATCAGAGTATAGCAAGTGGTGGGAGAGAGCAAATGTGTTCCTTCACACTGTTTTTTCCTGTGTTTATGATGATTGTGTTGTCTCTGCAGGCATTTGAGCTTGCCACAGGGGACTACTTGTTTGAACCACATTCTGGTGAAGATTATTCCAGGGATGAAGGTACTGCTAGGACTTCCTCTTCCTGTTCATTCACTGTTTATTTATTTACGTATTTTTGAAGTGTATGCTACACTGGTAAGTTTAATTTAAGTTTTGATATTGGTGGTAATTTAACAGTTCTTGCTACTGTGAAAAGCTTCATGATTTTTTTCTTAGATTTCATAAATTGGCCCTTATTGGTGTTTTTATTGCCACTGTGAATTTAAAATATACATTTCACAGTAAGCATGGCAAGTTGTGACCTTCACTTCAAATTATTGTGTAGTTTAATAATTTGCAGTGCACTTTGCTTAAGTTTTCACAATGTTAACACTTAAATGAGGTACTCCATTACAGTGATCTCAAAGGATCTCAAATTTAGAATAAATGTAGTTGTGAATCATGTGATGATGAGTACCAACATTCCTGTGTTTATTTCCTCTCTAACACCTCAAACCACATTTTTGCCGTACTGGAGACGGGGCCACTTCTCATTTCCTAGCTCATCTCTCTCTTCATCTCCTCCACACTCACTGTCCATATCTACTTGTTCTCATGCTTATGCATTCTTTATGTGCCTGTCGGCTTGCTGCTTAGCTTGAGGTTTCTGTACTGACTTGATTCTGTAGCAGCATGTCAGGTATGTGCTAAGAATCAGCCTTCAGTTTATTGGCACATGCCCCGCAGCTGTGAACCTGCTTTTTCACCTAAAGTACACGAACTTGTGAGGCTGTTGCTTAATATTCTTCCACATCTTTCTCTGCTGTGTGACTGCCCTTTAATTTATAATTATTTACTAATCACTCATCCTGTATCACAATCAGCTGTGCTTGTCTGATCTGATTCAATATTCATGGTTTGTTTATATATATGAAAGTGAATGGCCTACATGTGTTGAAATGTTTTTAATAGCTTTTGATATGAAGAAATAATATAGGCTGCCCATATGTGCTTCTTGTCATACAAGGCTGTCATCACCCATTGGTCCTAATACATTGTTCCACATGCCATCTCTCTCCCATCCCCTCCTCTCTCAAAACTGATACCCTCCAACTCTCTATCTTCCTTTTTCTCCTCTGATGTCCCTCATTTCCAGACCATCTTGCTCTCATGATTGAGTTGCTTGGTAAAATCCCTCGTCACTATGCTCTGAGTGGGAAATACTCACAGGAATACTTCACCAAGAGAGGTACGCCACCCCTCTGTCTGTGGCCCGCTCTGGGAATGGTGGATGGCAGGTGAGGGGGGCAAGGTTCCTGCCAGCACATTCAGATGTGCCAGGGTTGCTGGTGTGTGCAGACCGGTGGGCAAAGTAATGAATACAGACAAATAAAAGTATGTTTCTTTGAACAGAGCCATCAGACATTGATTCAAGCTTCAGTAGTTCTGCCAAAGATTCCCTGGCAGAGGAACATTCAGTACCTCCTTAGATGTAGCCAGAGGACTTAGCTGTACACTTGATACTGTATTGATCCCTGTAGGGGAAATTCTTCCAACTTTTTCCCCCGTTGTGGAGTGAAGAGCTTAAGGTCAACCACAGCAGTCATCTGATTTTAAATAATATTTTAAAATCATACTATGTACTACATTATTCAAATTAGAAGATCAGCAACCACCGAAAAATTGTTTCTGTCAATTACAGGCCTGAAGTGTATGAGATTTGAGTTTCACACTATGAAAAGTGTTAATAAGCAAGTACAACAATGTGATAATTATGAAAGAGCCTTGAGAAGATCTCCTCCTTAAGGGATCCCTGGCCTGAAATAGTTTGAGAACCTTTATGCTGGAGCTAGTAGATATTCAGTGGCAAGAGCACTTCTGCAGAGCAGATGCCTGCCTGTTTGGGGGCCTGAACCTGAATTCAGAACCTCCTATATTTACACCCAAGAATGTTTCTGTAATAATGAGGATGAAGCTGTTGTATAAAGGGCTCCAACAGATAGTAGGTGTTTATATAGATGTGTAGATTTAAATAAATGTATACACCACAGATCTGAGTCTAAGATACATTTGATACCTTTCACTGTAGATATCCAAATTTAATTAAACACTACTATAACGTAATGTGAGCTGGTAAACGTTTAGGAACCTTACAGCTCTTAATGTCTGATGGTCATGTTTGATGTAACTGTAGGTCTGTGCCCCCAAACTCCGCAACAATCTGATCCAAGTGTGTGTGCTGTCAGCCTGACCCACGACTTCCTCAAAGCCTCCACCCACACACCCAGAGTGGGCCTGTGACTGGGACACTGTCTGACCAATCTGTTGTTTGTCTGGTCTGTCTTTCCCTCTCCTCATGCAATCGTCTGCCACGTAGACCATATAGCGCTGATTATTGAGCTGCTGGGCAGTATCCCACGCAAACTCATAATGGCCGGCAAATATTCCAAGGATTTTTTCACCAAGAAAGGTAAAAGCGTCGGTGTCATAACAGAATAAGAGAGCCTTCACTATTTTCACACATCTTCACACACGTTTTATTGTTAAAACATGTCTAACTTTACATATTACTACACAAAGATGTCTGTTGTGGAATGCTTTGTTAATAAACTAAAACATTTATTTGAATATGTTTGCATAGACCCAACTACCTCGTCGTAATGAATTCACTTGCTCTATTCCTGCCTGTCTCTGTGACACAGCACTGTCTGTGTGGCTCACTGTCTGTCTGACTGGTTGTCTGCAGGTGATTTGAAACACATCACCAAGCTGAAGCCGTGGGGCCTGCTGGAGGTGCTGATTGACAAGTACGAGTGGCCCCGTGAAGAAGCCGAGTGCTTCGCTGACTTCCTGATTCCCATGTTGGAGCTGATCCCAGAGAAAAGAGCCACGGCCGCAGAGTGCTTGCGCCACCCCTGGCTCGCCCTCTAGTGGAGACCTCCAGCCAGTGCACCTCCCTTCCCTCCCACTCTCTCCAGAGACTGCAACAGATCACTTTCCAGTTTGGGCATATCAGATGAATATTTATTTCTCTTTTTGTTTTCGTCGTTTTGGATTTCTTATGTTCTTGAACTAATGCTTCTGTGTATGTTTGCTTTGTATTTGTTGGTTCTTCTCTCGGTGTGATGACGTCGGGAATCCAGTGGATTATATTACTTTGTGGTCATGTTGGCTCCAACTGCTGTGCTCCGTTCAACCACCCAACTAAGCGAACCTGTTATTGTACTGCTAGTGACTCATCCTTGTTTGTTACACTCCTGCACTAAAACCCAAACAAATCAAGGATATGTAGCCTTTATTGGTCATTTTTGTCCCCTTTAAAAAAAGACTTGCTATCACTTCTTTTCTCGTACATTTTCATTAGTGCTGTGTTGTTTTTTTTTTAAAGAATTATTTTATCTTATATTACACATTTAAGGTATATATTTTGTATTTGTAAAGTAGGCTTAGGAAGTTGCACACTGGGCTGACATTTACACTGACTACGGTTATTGCATTTCTGCAGACAGACTCTAGTTTCTTACTGAGACGTCCACTGTCTGATAATGTAGGTCATATTATTTAGGCATAACAAATCCGTTGTCACTTGGTATTTAGTGTGGTTAGTTAATTATAATAAATGAGATCTTTCATTCTCATGGGAGGCTGGTATTCTCATACACCTATTACAATTCAGGAATATAGTGTTTTTAAAGGTTTCAACCAGACGACACGCGAAGAAGCCCAATTTAAAGGAGAAAAAAAAGGTGGAAATAAACTGTATATATCTGTACCAAAGAGTTTGCCTTTATGTATATTACAGTTATGTACAGTTTTTAACAAATCTTATATCTTAGCTAAAATTATTTAGCTGGGTAGCTGTGTTTTAATAAAGCGTATGGAAGATGTGTTTGAGCTCAGTTGTATGTATGGCCAACTGTTCAATAATGTCACTGTTTTTACCATAACAATGGTGAGATCTGATGTTATGTAATGGTGTCCCAAATTGATCATATCAGAGTAACCTATGTATCTGTTGAGGCCTAGGTAAAAAACTAAATTTACATCAGTGTCAGATTCAAAAACATAGACTTTATGTGAGCTGTCAATTAACAAAACTGTACAACACACCATACAATAAAACAGATGTTCATACAACACAAAATGACTGCGTCAAGCTTGTTTCTCTGAGTTTATTAGGTGTTTGCTATAAAGTACACAAAACTGCATTGCCTGGTTTGTGAAGCAGAAAAGGATTGCTTAATTTTAACCAAGAGTCACTACAACTATAAAACAGCAGAAAACATTAAAAAGGCAAGTGAAGTGAACCGTTTGATGTAAAGTATATCATGACATTTCAGGATGCTTGTTCAATGCCCTGAAAGTATCTGCATCACACACTGCTCTTAGAGGTGTCTGTTCATCATGAGTTACCTGGAAAAGAGGAAAAACAGAATACCTTTATTTAGCTGAGACTTAATTCCATGAGATGATGTTTTGGTAACAACATGTCTTCAAATTATGAGCTTCAAATACATATGTATAGCAACCTGAACTACGAGAGAGTATAAATGAGTGCAAAAAATACAGTCATGTATTATAGAATCCAATTAGAAAACTACAATTTCCTAAAAACTATCCAAAGCTCAGAAACAGACACTAAATGGACCTTGAAGGGGGATTTCAACCTCCACCTGTTTGCATTAACCCTTACCTTCTCCCTCCACCTCGAAGTCATCCGGCAGCAGTTTGTCCTGTCGATTGCCGAGGGTGAAGGACAGTAATGCCAGGAGCAGGGCGTCCAGGATGCTGATGATGGCCAGGATGTAGGCCCAGCGCACCGTGCAGTTCCCCAGGCTGTACTTATCCGTCCTCTGGCCACACATCCTCTTGACCTCTGGAGAGTCCCAGCCGTCCGGGTAGATCATGCAGCCCATCACCATCAACGCAGCTGCGGGGGAAGAAGATCACTGAAATGGTGGAGCCTTGCAATAATTACCTCTGGTGTGCTCTTACTTTGATAAATATTTATTAGGGAGGCTCTTCAGAGCCCCCAGTGCAGGATAGGGTATGATGTACCCCCATAAAGTGCCAAAGGTTTAATTTATTTATGGTGCAGCAGGGCAAAGGATGCTCAGTGGTGCTGTTTGCATGATGTACTGTTATGAAAGTTCTTAATGTTAAATTCTCTCCATCTGGTAAACTTTCCTCTGGGTTTTTGCCAAAGCTACTGAGCAAAATTGTATAAAAATCCGGTATTTGATTCTATGTGCACATTAAGGAATAGCTAAGTTATATACAGTAGTGCAAAGTAAGTAAAAGTAGATTTACTCAAGTCATGTACTTACGTTAAAGTTTGAGGTAACTTGAGTATCTACATTTTATATTACTTTATACTTACTATAAACTATACTCACTATACTAGTCAATAGTTAGATTTAATTTTACATAAAAAACACATGATAGGCTTATACAAGGAAACACACTTTTAAAGATAAAAGATAAAACATTTTTGTTTGTTTTGTCCGTTCTGGGCTACTGTAGACTGTTGTCTCGCCTCATATGTTGAGTTGTTAGCAGTTCAATCAAACAAACATCCTCCTCTAAACTTCTCACATTGTTTCATTTAAATTACTGTTTGAGGCCCAAAGATGTTAAATGATCCATTATTTCACCAAAATGCTCAGATTATAGTCTATGATGACTTTTGACCCCTAGGTTGGAAACCATTGGGCAAAACTGCCTTACTGTATCTAAAGTAGATCAATGAGCTCAACCTTGAGCAGCTTCAGCAGTAAAAAGCTGCTTACACAACAGTTTTAAAACTTGAATGATGTAAAATATGATAATATGTCAATCAATGCACATTTTAATGCAGAATGAGCACTTTTACTTTTGATACTTTGTTTATAATATTTTTATACACTTTCATTTATAGTCTTATATTTTCTATTATATTTTGTGATATTTTATTTTGTGATATCCGGTTGTACCTCCACACCTATGTGCTGTGTTTGAATTTCTCTTAAGGGGGATCAATAAAGGAACATCTTATCTTATCTTATCTTACACAGGCTTTCATCATATGGCTGGTTTCCTTGGTCCTTGGATGACTCGGTGCAAGTTTAGATCAGTTAACAACACAGTAACACCTGCTCATGTTACATGTAACCAATCCACCATCAGAGGTGTCAGAGTCTGGACTGAAACTGGATCCTTTATTGGCTTCCACTGTGAAGAACAACACATCCAGTACAAACACACGCCACGCCTGAAACCAGAAAGGTGAGAAGGCGGCTCATGAAAGGATGAGTTTATCACCAGGGAGAGTTTATAAGAAAAGACACAGGTCTCACTCCTCCAGACCCACTGCTTCATTTCAGAGTTTTGATATTCAGGTGCTTTGGTAAAGATCTTTAAAGTCTTGTGGGAGGTCTCTTTAATGAACAAATACAAAAACTTGGTCTTTAATAATTAGATGCTGGTACCAAAGCAACTATAAGGTTTTAAGGGGTAGATAAGTGGTGGAATCACTTTCCTACTTTGTGTTTCTCCTTGGAAACAAGATTTTCCAAGGTTTTGATCATAACTCATAAAATGAATAGCATTGGTTAAACCCAGTAGACCTGCTGGCGAACAAAGTTATAAAATCAACCACCGTAGTATTTTTAACACATTGTGTCAATATCAATAATCTGAGGATGTTTTATTGCTGTTAAAATAATCACCATTATATGGATTTATCTCCCAGCTTTCACTTAGATATGGGTTTAATATCAGTTCTGGACTACAAAATTAAGTTTTTGACTACTACTACTACTTTTTTTATTATTTATTTTTTTAGACCTAATGCATTTATGTTAATTTCAGTTATGGACAAAGTTATTAGTTTCTCCGGAAATACTCTACGACAAGTAAATGTTATGCATTCAAAAAGTACATACAGTAAGTAAGCATAGTGTCACATTATTATATACATTTTATTATTATTACTGATGCACTGACATATAAGCAGCATTTGAATGCAGCTGGTGGATGTGGAGCTGGTTTTAACTACAGTTACTGCAGTTGTGTACTTCAATCAATGACTATGAATCATATTTTATACACTGAAATAATATGAACACTGACTAGTAACTATAGCTGAAGTGGAGTAAAGAAAAATACAATATTAACCTCTGACATGCCTCCACCCTCCTCCTCACCTGAGGCCAGCTGCATCCACGCACAGATCCTGTAGACGTTGCCGGCGTTGCAGAAGAAGAACAGGCTAAAGCAGACCATGGTGCCCACAATCAGCAGCATGGAGGTCCCCACGAAGAACATGGCGGTCCTGAAGGCCGGTGAGGGGATGGAGGCGAAGTCCAGCACGCTGCCCTTGCAGACGAGCTCCGAGGTGAGCGCGTTGCCGATGCAGTAGTGGAAGAGGCCGAAGTAACCGGCCTGCGGGGTGTTGACGCTGTCCCCGATCCAGTAGGGCTGGATGAAGACCACCATGGTGATGATGACGAAGCAGATGGTGAACACGGCCCACATGACGCCGATGGCTCGAGAGTTTCTCACATAGTTGGTGTGGTAGATTTTAGCAGCCTCCTGGGCTGGAAGCAGATCCATGTTGGCGAGCAGGGGAAGAGCAGCAAGTTCGTGTCGGACAGCTGTTTCTTAAACCTTCATCTTCAGCTCAACAGACATTTTTCTAACAAGCTTCTTTTTTTTTTTTTTTTTTTTTTTTTTTACACTTGATCTAAATGTCTTTAAACTCACCACAAACACACACACACACACACACCCACACACATACACCCGCCTGTTGCAGCTGTGTCTGCTTTGCATTGAAGGAGCAGACTCAGGATTCAGCACCCTGGACAGCACCCTCTCTACTCTCTAATTAATGACGTTGCTCTGACGTCAGAGATTGACACCTGTCTCATCACGAACCGTAAACGCAGGATTGAGAGAAACTAAATACTTTCTGTACTGTAACTGGACTGTTATCCATACAGAGCTTCAGTGTATTGAGTCGACTAATTCTGTTGATGATGAAGAATTTTATTTACCCCATTTATTTTGAACAGGTGAGAATAATCCTCTTTTTATTTGTCATTCTATGAAGTGGTCCTTTAATGGTGACCACTTGTAACTACTCAGTACCACTTATAACCACAGTTAAAACCACAAACTATCTATTTGAAAGCTTTAGATTAGGGCAACTGGTCTTAATTTGGCCTAATCATTTAAAATTGTCTTTTAGGGTTAATAACCAGGTAGATTTATGTTCCTACAATTGCCCATTGTTTAAGGTTGTTGTGTGTGTTTAAAATCCAAATGAAGTGCTGCATTTAAATATCCATATACAGTAGGATGCATATATGTAGAATTTGAAAAACCCTCTACAATTGTAACCAGAAAGTAACCTGTAACCTTTGTGTTGGAAATACAAACAATATTTTACTTTGGGTTGAAACTAATTGGTCACCAAGCAAACAACATACATTTCATATATAAAATGTTTAGGGGTTATTTGTTAGTCAACAGCAGCTGTACTCCCTCTTTAGTCCAATATTTCTAAATGTCACCATGTGATGATATTTAGGGAGCTCCTACCTGACAGTTTGCTAGCTTTATGGTGGATAAATAAGAAGCTTAAAATACAGGTTTGCTGATATCAAATTCAATATTGTTCCAGGAGAGTCTATTTATTAGAATACTGCTTATCTGTAAATGTACTGCCAGTGACAGGAACACAATAAGGGAGTTATTTTGATAAATTAAAGAAAAGCTCAGATAGATTATGGCTTTTGATTGTTGTTGCTTAGGGTGTTGGGAGTACAGCTGCATCACAGTGCACTGAACAACAGTGAAGTCTGCAGTGTCTTCGAAATGGCACAGATGTGAAGAACCTAACACTAAACACACGTGGGCAGCTTCAAATCACACAGCACACTCGTGTTTGCCAAAACCAGCTGGTCGCTGATGCTTGATAACAAAACAGAGATCTATTTAACGCTGGCGAGTCCAGCTTTTTCTCCTCTCTCTCGCTCTCTCTCTCTGTCAGTCCTGTTTTGGGCTGATAAGTTGCCATATTCAATGCCAGAATTTTTTATTTATCAGTCTAAATTACTGGTCTGTTTACACTTAACAGTTGCAGTTAAACCACAACAACACATATGGTTTCTCTCCTTCAACACGCTTTCTATTTCTTTGCCATATTCAGTTTGGCATGACAAATATGGCTCGAGGCTGACAGAGGCAGCCGGACAGAGCACGCCACCATCTGTACCCTTCACTCTCCAGTCAGTGTTCATAACAAGGAGCCGGAGGGCCTCCTACATGACACTGTGCCATGTGTAGAGAAAAATATTCGGGGATGAGCGGTTGTCCCGCGTCCCCAGGGGGATCCCTGATGGCTCCCTGCAGCTCAGGAGGGACAGAGCTGCTGGTGGGGGGTGGCAGAGAGGAAAACACCAGCTCTGCCTGAAAGACAGGAGAGCAAGAGAGAGGGAAGAGATACAGAGGAGACATCACAGTTTAGATAAAAAGACTAATCAAACTCTCAGTCTGTGGAGGAAAAATGAGGGGGAGCTGCTTTTGAGTGCTGCTCTAATGAGGCGTAATCCCTGATACATGTGACAGCCTCTGAAGAGTCTTGTCAAGATTTCATCAAGCCTGCTGCTTCTTCAGTGATGCCTTGAAGAGGAGATGTAGTGAAAGCATCTTGGTGGAAAAAAATGATTGAAGGTGGGCATTGCACCAAGGCTTCATGCACACACAACCACATATACTTAACACTTGCAGGAGGATTAACCTCTTTGTTTGTCTTTGTTTGTTTTCTGACATAAAACCTTGATCCAGGCTTGTTTTAATGAAAGCCTGTAGTGATATGAAGGTCTTACCAAGATCCAAAATCCAGTTGTGTTAGGAATTAAAAGATAAATTCATGACCATCTGCTTTTGACCCTGAGCAGCGCTATAGTGTTATAGCTCCCAAATGAAGAAGAAATGTGATGTCTGTCTTAGGGGTTGATGGGCTGGATTAATTGCAGATGTTAACAAAAGGTGGCTAATAAAAACTTTTCTAAGCTGCTTTTGATTTTACAAGCTTTTTTCCCATCACAGACAGGATCTGACATTAGCAGAAGGATTAAGGTTTTAACTGTTTCCATTTTCTCACCTTATTACAAACTAAAGAACGCTCACCGTCTCCTGAATATAAATTCAAGCAGCATTTCTCTTTCACTCGACTGAGGAGAATAAGACATTGTTTGCGTTGGCTTTTCAGTCATTCCACCGTACATTTGTCTCTCCATTAACTTTTAAGATCTTTTTGTGAACTGAAGAGAGCACAACAGATGCGTCTTTGATGTTTTCGTTTTTATAGAATTTCTCGTTGTGCCACAAAGCAATCAGGCAAATTTCAGAAAAATATTGAAGTTGATGGTACAACATGTAAATTAAAACTTGTTTGTCAGCAGCCAAAGGTAACAAAGGAACCTCAATAAGATTACCACAAACTAACTGACACCGAGTAAATCGGAGGCTTTTGACATGTCTGGGGGGCCTGGGGCTCCTATCCATCACCCCATCCAGGCTCTATCCTGACAGAAAACTGGCAGAAAATCAACCCAAATTCCTGTCTTCAGAAAGTCTGTTAAGAGAGAGTGTCTGTTGTTGTTGCTGTGTGTATTTTGGGGTATTTTTTATTAATACTTAATAATAGAGATGCGACAGGAAATGAACGGAGAAAGAGGAATGGCATGCATTAAAAGTTGACCAGCTGGACTTGAAGCAGGGATGTTGCAGTGGTCATTGTGAGTGTTGTTTAATGGTAATTAGATGTACTTTAATGTCTTCAAAATGAATGAAAATTTTAAATGAGACACCTTTGAGCAATGAGCAACCTCAACATGCATTACTGGAGCCACAGACCTATTTACACATAAATGACTTCGAGGGTTGAGCATACATTTGGGTTCTTTACCTCCGATGAGTGAATTCTTAAGCAAACCTAATAGCTGAGCTCTTCTGCCTTGTCGTTCTCAGACCTCGGGGAGTCGGGTTTGTTTATCTGTTTGTTCAATAATTCCTGTGCCTGACTGCAGTTCAGAGAGGCTGTTAAAACGATTTGCCAGTTTGGTTTCCTGTGCAGCAAATTCACAAGCTAGAGAGGCAAGAAAGAGAAAAGTGGAGAGGGGTACAAGTGAGTGAACATTTTTCACCTGGCTCTCTGAGGCTGACAGAACACAAATACAGTGATGGATAAACACACGGAGGCATGGGTTTGGGTTGCTGTATCTCACCTTTAGGATGGCAGTGAATAGATTGGCAACAAGGTGAAATGCTCCCGCTTAATGTACAGATTAAAGTACAAGGTGCCGTAAATTCACACATGTCTAAATCTTTATATCATGTAACTGTGAGTTTATTTCTAAAAGGACACAACTTTACATACATTATGTTACCCATACAGTTACTGTACAGTACTGTATAGCTGTTTCTCCTCACAGTGTGTCCCTATACGGTACAGTATAATTATAGCAACATTATTTTGGTCATTTCGATCCTTATTAGTTGTTTCCTTGGCAACAACAACTCTCTCTGGGGTTCATATTTAAAAAATACAGGAACAAATGTTTACATTGAACTGACTACATTTTTTTCACTCGTCTCTAGTTCCCCTCAGCTCTAACCAACAGTACACTACCTACTCAACATTAAACCCAGACAGCGACTAGCTGGTGAAGAAAGTGGAACATTTAGCAGCAAGAGCCAGATATTTCCCTCAGGAATTGGTGGAGCCCAAAAACCGAGTTAAAAGTAAATGAATGCTGAAGATTGGACTTAGATTCCCCAGATGACCATGAACAATACTTTTATTACTTTTCAATACTAATTAGGATCTGCACTGTATCTGGATGTATAAAGTTCATCATATCAACAAAAATGCTGCAGCAACACTTAAAACGTCTTTGAGTTTTCACGGAGACAAACCACTCACTGCAATTGGAATTAATGTGTATGAATGGATTCAGTCACAAGCCATTAAACCTCCCTGGGTCCTTGGTAAATGGCCAAGCTATACTTCCTTGGTTCATCATATTTCTCTCATGATCCAATATGAGGTGTGTGAGCTGTTGTAAAATGGCCTGTGGCACTTCTAATAACCTTGGCAGCTTTATTACATTTATGGCCAACTTTCATCAAATGAGCGACATGCTTATTCCTTGATGTGATTATGGTCTGCTGTTGAGACGGCGAGCAGAGCACATCATAATGTTTTCTGGAAATATGACAGATATTCTCTCATCATCACATGTTGTTTTTGCTGTATTATTGTTAAATGTTACATGACTTCTCGTCCTTTTCCACCAAAGTAACGGCCTGTCTTTGTAACATATGCAGTTTTCAGCATTAAAACAAGCAGCTCTCACCACGCTCCGGCAGATTAAGATGCCGGGGCCAATCGGAGATGAAGAGGCATTTCATCTGAGAAACTGTCGTTTAAAGTCATGCACTGATTTCTTTTATGATTGGCCCAGAGGATGGTGCTGCCCATTGATGACGGTTTCAGGAGAATAATAAGATTATGTTAGTCTTCTCTATTTAGTATTCAGTTTAATAAACCACTCCAATCAGAATGCAGGAGGGGAAACGGTCTCTAAGTGTGTCTCTAGTATCCCCTCTCACTGGCCTTGTGCATATTGTAATATCCTTGTAAACACCCCCTTGGTTACTTCAATAACCTTGACCCTCAGCTGTATTGTGGCTTTGTTTCCCTACAGCAACTATGTTTAAAGATAATGAGCTCTGTGAGTTTAGTGCAGGTGTTGTAATGGCTGCAGCAGATCTGCCCAGGACACCAGATAAGCATCCACATTTTTGTGCTCCTCTCAGAGCAACAGCTTGTGTTCACAAAACAACCCAAACCTTATCCTCCCTGACCCAGCACTAATGCTGCCCCCCCCTCCCTTCATTACGGTACCACAGCTTCATAGATGCTTGTCCAGCCAGCTTTGAGGCCAATTTTCTTTCATCCTATCCCTGTTAGAATTGGTGTGCTTTGGCAGCAGAAAGCAGGAGCCGATCCAGACCTCAGCCAGATGCATCTTGTTATTTTAGACAGAGAAAAAGAGCACAATGGGCTTTCACACCCTCAGCAACCCAGCACTACTGTTTTGGGGATAACTGGGGCACCCATGTTAGTTACAACTCTTGGAATATGTGTTTGGTGTCACACTAATGAGATTTTTTCCCCCACCACAGATGCTCTGCTTTTCTGTGAAAAAGAACAAATGAAAACACTGAAAATGCCTCAACACGCCCTTTCTCTCTGTGCATTGATGAAAAACTCCTTTATTAGCCAAGATTGTCCAAAAGGGGGCAGTATACCTTTAAGTGTATTGAGTCAGGTCACTTATGAGAGTGTATGCACAGAGGAT